AAAAAAAAAAAAAAAACACAAAAACAGAATAGTAGTAATTTTTATTTTTATTTTATTGTATTTTATTTACTGAGATGGAGTTTCGTTCTTGTTGTCCAGGCTGGAGTGCAATGGCGTGATCTCAGCTCACTGCAACCTCCACCTCCCAGGTTCAAGTGATCCTCCCACTTCAGCCTCCAAAAGTACTGGGTTTACATGCATGAGCCATCATGTCCAGCCTCAAACACAGAATCTTTTCATTTCACAGGTCTAGTCCCTATTTTGGCATACAATTTTTAATGATGCTTTTTATATCCTTGACATTATATCATAATCATATTTGTGTTTCATGAGAAAGTGTCAGAAATACTTATTAACCACGATCTAGGCCAGGATAGATCATTGCCGCTTCACTGTTAATATAGTAGCACAATACCTAACATGGATAGTCATGGGTTCATTGCCTCCTGTGCTGATTACGCTTTACTAAGCATTACCTATGGTCCTGTAGGCCAATATCAACAGCTACGTTCTAGAAATATTTTAAAAAATAATAAAATAATAATATAAAAGCAAGGTTCTTCAGCCAAAGATAGTCACAACTATTTGGCATAACCTTCCTGAAAATCGTGGCATTTGTGGTTTAAATAAAGAGATTATGTTTCCTATTTATTTTTGACAGAGTCTCGCGCTGTCACCTATGCTGGAGTGCAATGGCACCATCTTGGCTCACTACAACCTCTATCTCCTAGGTTCAAGCATTTCTTGTGCCTCAGCCTCTCACGTAGCTGGGATTATAGGTACCTGCCGCAATGCCCAGCTAATTTTTGTATTTTTAATAGAGACAGGGTTTCACCATGTTGGTTAGGCTGGTCTTGAACCCTTGACCTGAAGTGCTCTGACTGCCTGGGCCTTTCAAAGTGCTGAGATCACAGGTGTGAGCCACCACGCCCAGCCAATGTATCTCATTTAAATCAGGAGGAAATGAAATGATATAGGTGAAATAAAAATTGATTCCAAGGTAATGAAACATTTCAGGTAAATATTTTTCTACTAAGAAAAGAATTTTAAAAAAGGAATCATCAAAGTAATGAAATTGTGAATGACTAATTCAACATGAGAATCAGTTAACTTTATTTCTGAATAATATACAAGACAGTAATTCAAGAAAAACATCATCATGGGGAAGATAATATTGTCTCTGTATCTGTTTGTCTCCATTTCTAAATATCAGGCGGCCTAAGGCAGGGGTTGGGGGATGAACTAATTGTCATTAATGCCCCTGATGAAAAACAACATTCAATCTAGCCTACAAAATAGTTTTGAAAGTAACCCACGCAAGATTCTTATTTTTTAAAACTTAAGCTGTGCATGGTGTCTCATGCCTGTAATCCCAGTACTTTGGGAGGCTGAGGCGGGTGGATCACTTGAGATCAAGTGTTCCAGATCAAGCTGGCCAACGTGGTGAAACCCCATGTCTACTAAAAATTCAAACATTAGCCAGGCATGGTAGCACATGCCTATTGTTGCAGCTTCTAGGGAGGCTGAGGCAGGAGAATCACTTGAACCCAGAAGGCGGAGGCTGCAGTGAGCCAGGATCTCCAGCCTGGGTGACAGAGTGAGACTCCATCTCAAAAAAAAATTCATCATATATCACACCGTAATAAGATCTAAATGGCTGTAAAATTCTAACATTAACTTCACAAGGTTATACTCCTATTTTCCTTAATGACATTTGATATTTGAGGTGGTATGGGTTGTGTTCCTTCTCTTCACAATAAACTGGTGTTCTGCATTATTTCTTAGACTCTGACTTTGAAAATCTAAATGAGAAAGCAATATTGACATGCATTTGTCACTTTTATGAAAATAAGTATTCAATAATTGTTATTCAATTAGTTATAGCTCCAAAATTGAGAAGGCCCAAGAATGACTGGGATTTTATACAAGGGAAGTTATCCTGGAAATTTCTACTTACGTATCATGAATACGTATTCTTGTATTCACACTAGATATATGTGCAATTTCTGAATTTCACTTAATTTCTTCCTTTCTGCTATACTGCACTGCTTAACTTACTCCTGCACAAGCCACCGTGGAGTTGACACAACTACCTTTAAAGCTATCCATCATAGTTAAAAATATCTCCGCAACAAACCACTTTCAGGTACCTAATTCAGGCCATTCTTCCCCTATCTGCTCACAGAGCACCTATTATATAACTGTATCAACATTTGTCACACAATTCTAATTGTGTGATTGATTTCTTGGCTATCAATGCATCTAGGCTGCAAATCCCTGGAGGAAGAACATATTCTGCTCATCTTTGTTTCCTAGCACCTAACACAGGAATTGTCACACGTGACATGCTTGGAAAGGTTTCTCATGAAGTAACAGGAATCCATTTCTGAGCATTTCTGAGAATGAGAAAGGTGGGTCTCTCTGGGCTCCCATAGGTTTGTATCTGCCAATCTGAACAGACCGCCTACTTTTTCTCTCCCATTGTTAACCCGACGCTGAGGAACCGTGACTATTCAGTCCACGAGGAAACTTAATGATGTAACACAGGCAGTGGAGAATCACAAACTGTACAGTTTCCATGTGAAAACTGGTGATGCCTAAAAAGAGATTATAAATAATCTGTTTTTCTCAAATCTCTGTCTTTGAAAATCTATGTACGACTTTCTTCATTAAATGCCAAACTAATAGGGATTAAAAATGACTCAGCTATAACAGAACTAGTTCTGCAAAAACATACTTGTTTTCTTGAATCTCTTTGGTGTATCAAAACTAAATGCCATGGTAACCAGAAACTGTGGTGGATTTTGTGAAATGCCTTCCTTTGACACAATCTAGACAGTAAGTTTATTTTTCCATCTTACTCTCCTTTCGCTTTAGGCTCTTCATCTGTTCACTTTTCCCTAATATCCTTTCACAGTGAGGTAGAAAATATGCAATAAATGACAAAATATATTAACATGTTTGTAATTGAAATGCTGGCTCAAAGCTGGTATAGACACAATTAAATCTCATTTGTGATGAATTACGTTTCACAGGCATTTTAAGGCATATGCATATTGGAAAGCTATAATCCATGCATTTTACCTTATCTTTTTTCTCCTACTCAGGAAAGAAATGAAAAAAATAATTTAACTTTTGAGGTAGTTTAGAACTCAATTTCCTACACAAAATAAAGGCAAGGCCATGTTGAAAATAATATTCTTAACTGTAAGTTATTTGAAGAAATTTTAATGCTTCTCCAGAGTTAAGAAAAGAATTTTAAAGAAAAATAAAAAAGTGAAAGCAGCCACAACTCTGTGAATATAACACTACTCAAAAATTCAAGGTGAATCTTATACCCTGTTTTGTAACACTACCATCCAAGCCTTATTCATATTCCAGCAGAGTTCTAAGTCAAGTTTCAGCTTGGGACATAGGATGAATCATGAGCTTTAATAGAGAGATGAAATCTGAACTCGACACAGTTATTTACATTTAACAAGAAGGTATTACCATTGCTCAAATACTCCTTCTAAAAAATAAAATGCATAATTTAATCACACACATCTGTCTTTTACAACAGCCTAGATGACTGTAGTTTCTTAACAACGGTTTAAACTATGTTCTAAGGTCTCAGTCGCTGGTATAAGGCTATCTTTCACCTTCCCCACTTTCTCTCACCATATAAAGGCAGTTAAAATAAAAGGAACAAAATAAGAAGTTATAAATTAAAAAGCTGAAATAGCTCATAAATATATTTTCCCAGGTAATCATTAGAGAGCAAGTAAAAGAAGACGCAATTAAATTCAACAAGTTCAACATGCACAGGTTCAGACTCAAGGGGAAGGACATGGTACACCTCACTTGTCTATGACAGAGGTCTGCCAAGCCTTCCTTGGAAAATCAGTTCATACTATCTGAACACATTAAAACCAAAAATATTACAACAGTCCTTTCACACACACAAAAAAGAGCAGAATCAAGGAAATTGATACAACATTTGAGGTTTTTAAGGATGCATGTTCTGTAAAGTAATGAAGTTGGGATTAACAAACAGTACAACATTTTTACACTCTGTTCAGAAACCTACGGCTTACCTATTTTTTTTAAATTTCATATTAAAGGTTTTTAACAATCAAAAAAGCTTACAAAATTGAAGACCTACATAAACACAAATTTAAAGCTTAAATCAAATTTAAGTCATCCAGATTAATTCTTATTGCATTATGCTTTCCCCCAAAAAAACTGCTTTTAAACTCTCCTTCAAGTTGCAAATCCATCTAGAGTTATGACTTCAAAGTCCATCATCAATTTACACATAAGTAAAATGTTTGCTTGAGTTTGATGAAAACTAAATTTATTAGGATAATTCAAATGCACAGTTTCTTCATGTTCCTGCAAAACCTCTCTTCATCAGGCTAAGTGCTTTCTGTGATTATGACATATACATTGGAATGAAGTAGCAGTTGCCTCCAAATGAGAATGTTTCCTATTAAGCATATGCTAAGTAAACACCACTCTCTATCTGAGCATAAATGAAGATAAAACACTCTACATTATGATTCAATTAAAAACCTCCAAGATACGTTACCTGCCGCCTCGAGCACTGAAAGGCACTACATGGATTCCCAGAGGCCCTCCATCGTTGGGGACTTGTACGAGCTTTACCATATCACTGTGAGACAATGATGAATGAGGGAGCATGAACGTGTACTGTAAACAAACCAAAACCAAAACCAAAACAAAACAGAAAACTGCAACAACACAGACACATAATAAACAACAAAAGAGAAAAGAACAAAAATCCCACCAAGCGCACACGCATATACATACATATTCTGGAATATAAGCATGGTGATGAAGGCAACATTAAACACTACATACCTGAACACTAGTCTGATGGCATGGAGGGAGAGCAATCATCAGAGATAACTACATTAAAATGACAGAACATTTCTCTTGGACCCTATTCTTCTGTGTAATACAAGTTTATGTGTTTCAAGTCAAATCTCTAGGCTTACACTAAAACTTTTCCATCCCAACACCTATGTCAAGGACTCTGAAGATTAACTGAACAAAGATGTTGCAGCTACAGAACACTTTCTAATTTACAAAGTGCTCTTGTATATGTCACATCATTAATCCTTCCACTAATCCGATGAGATCAAAGTTTTAACCCCATCTGTGGCAGTCCAAAGGAGATCACCATCGTCTTACTGTTCACCACTTCATGACAAATCAGTCACTATTTCCTAAACTGCTATAATAGTGCTGCAAGTGCAGCTTGTAAAACTCCTTTCTCAAAGCCAATAGGTATCTACTATAAATCAAATAATTTTCATAAAGTTACTTGTAATTAATTTTCTTCTTAGAGATGGGGTTTTGCTATGTTGCTCAGGCTGGCCTAGAACTCTTGGGCTCAATCAATCTTCTCGCCTCAGTATCCTGAGTAGTTGGGGCTACAGTTATAAAGCTATTTACATTATATGAAATAACATGAAGTTACTATTACAAAACTAAAGTATTCTATGTAAGGAACATAACCTTACATAACCCATGGATTTGTCAAGTCACTCCCATGAATCTTTACTATTTATACAATAAAGGCTGAGTTCAATGAAAATTGGTATAATGTAATTTTCTAAACCATTTAAATAAGATTTTTGCTTTCTTTGTAGATTTGTTCATATATACATACTATATCAGAGGTCTAAGCAGCATTAACCTAACCACCAATATTTGGAAACAGTACTTCAATTAAATATCTATTTTAAGCCATCTGGAAAACCATAAATTATTACCAGTGGATTTCACAAAGATCACAATATAGTTTTTATGTGATGGAAAATGCCAATTTTTCAATTATATTTCTAAAAATCTGAGGTTATCCTATGTACTATGAATGTCCTGCATACATAATACAAAGACTATTTATAATTAAAGACAGGAGTATCAAACAAATCAAATTGAAAATATGTGCACAGATTTAACCACATGCACTAATTAGGACAACATAAAAATTGTGCCATACTGCCAAATGGTTAAATGAATTATTTACTACTTTTATTTTTTCACCAAATTTCATAAAATTCTACTTTGGATACTGATTATCCCATCTGAACACCTATCTAATCATTGGTTTGTAAGCTAAAAATAGTATAACTTCAATAAACTGATTTATTCCACATTCTAATAGAACTATGGCACGGCAAGTACTTACTAAATGTAAATAATCAGTGTGCTGGTTGCTATACATTCAAACAGCATCTGATCCTAGTGCCTGCTTAATCTCACTTCTCTTGGAAGACCAAGAAAAGACAGAATTAAGTACATAAATGTCAATGTCTGTATCCTCAATTTTTACCCAAAGTCAAATAGAAAAATCAAATGACTGCCCTCCCGGCTCTAAGCTACCAACGAAAGAAGTCCTGAGAATGCCTACCATTTACACATGTCAATATTTAAAATAATCAAAACATTGTGGATCAAATAGAATTTTTTGTCCTTTTATACTTAAAAACATTTTCAAGGTCCCTAACCTAGGACCTCCAATTTTTCATCAAATATCTTGAGAGGTTCTATTTCTCCAAACAACAATAAATACACACACACACACACACACACACACACTATAACTAATGCTAACATGATCTAACTAGTTTTTCAAGTATGTCCTCAAATTTTCTTAATTTAGCAAAGTGAAGAACAAACACATGATCAAAATACTGACACAAAGCAATCTGAAAACAGTTACAGTGTTTACAGCGTTATTAACATGACAAACATCTTCAATCAAATACTATTTTATATTATATTTTAATAGTATTTGCCAGGGCATGAAACTCAGGACAGGTACACATGAAATTCCATGCTGTGCTGCTTACATTACATAATTAACTCAAGAGACGAAAGATGTTCTTTAGAAAAACAAATCAATGCAAGGCATGTTTTCAAGCACAAACATTCCTCATGCCATACACTTTCAGAATATTTGCTGCAATTAATGATGTCACATGTATTCTGCAAACTTAGTTGAAATCTTCAGTAACTTACTCCAGAGAAAAGTTGGGCATGTTCTCCAAACCCGTGTCAGCATGTCCAACAGGTTCAACACGACTGTTATCCTCTTCTGTCCCATCCTCATCCTAGAGGCAGCCAACACAAAAAGTATACTTTGTGTTAGTCTTTTTGCTATAATGTGAAAGGAAACTGGATAAAACGGGAGTCTAACAGGCATTATGATCATGTTAACTGTTTCCTCTAAGGAGGATGACCTTTAACGATAGCTGAGTGTGTGTTGTAAAAAGCTAAAATTGAAAACAAGAGTCTTATGAAATATTGTATCCCAGAAAGTGAACAAGATATATTACTGGGATAAAGAAAGAAAACAAACAAACAAAAATATATGGTTATGGTAATTTTCTTTTTCTTTTTTTGAAACAGAGTTTCACTCTTCTTGTCCAGGCTGGAATGCAATGACATGATCTTGGCTTACTGCAACCTCTGCCTCCCAGGTTCAAGTGATTCTCCTGCCTCAGCCTCCCCAGTAGCTAGGATTACCGGCATGTACCACCACATCTGGCTAATTTTGTATTTTTAGTAGAGACAGGGTTTCACCATGTTGGTCAGGCTGGTCTCAAACTCCTGACCTCAACTGATCCACCTGCCTCAGCCTCCCAAAGTGCTGGGATTAAAGGCGTAAGCCACCACATCTAGCCACTAATTTTTTTATCTGATCATTTTTCACTTCTTTTCATGTATATTTTAGGAAGTAATTATATATTACTCCACTGATATGATATATTGATAAACAAATATACATGACATTGGAAATGCATGTTTGAAAACAGCTTCCTACTCAAAACTATTATAAACCATAACCATTACCAAAAGCTTCAAAGCCATATTTCTCAGTCCTCGATTCCTACTAACAGTTTGTCAGAAGCAACATGCAGTAGTATAGCTGCAGACTTTACAGCCTTCATCCTGTAAAATTTCACATAAAGTTACCCTAAGCCAATCAACTGATTATTTGGAGGTGTCTGTAAAGGCATTAAGGTTTTAGCCATACGGACCACTTCTGTTTACTCCTGTGCATAAAGGACCAAACACAAGGACAAGCAAAAGTAGAAAAGCACTCAGCACCCCCATCTTCCCATGCTTTCTTTGACAAAGCCAATATTTTGTAAAAATTATTTCAACGTGTTGCAGAAATTCATTAAGTTTGTTGGTACTCAAAAAGGCGCATGTGGAATAAACATGGTAGTTCACAAAATAAATGAAAAGCCACCCAAGAATATGTCTTCATTTATAATCTCAGCCACTGTCTTTTCATTAAAGAGTTCACTATTATTAATAGTTAAAAGTTAACTTTTCAAGGTCATTTGAATAATGATAAACATACCTGACTGAGATCAATGGATTTACTAGCCAGATTAGAACAGTTACGATACCCTCAGATTCTCCAAACACAATGGCAGAAACACAGTCTCTGGCACCTAGTAGGAGCTCTGTAAATGTTTTGCTAATTCAAGTAAAATCATGCCTAGGGCTCTCTGGAGTAATACGTTCCCAAATACAACTAAATAAAATGTATTTAGAAGTTTATACGTATAATTTATGTATACATATAATTTGTTAGGTTTATCTTTTCTATTACATAAATTTGACAATGGTGATTTTGTTGTTAACTTTTTTCCAAGATAATTCATAAGTTCACATATTGTGAACTTATTAAGCCACTTATATTAGGACAGGAAGTCCAACGCTGGAGAAAAATTTTATATTTTCAATCATGTTATTTGAGAGACTCACAGTAGAAACATATATCCCATCAACAGGAACAACAATCAACAAAATGAATAAGTAAGAGTTACAGGTTCAAGATACAATGTAAAACAATATATTAAATCATTGAAGAGACACTAAGAGAAGGCAAAGCAGGCAGTAAGGTCCAATTGACATTTCCTCTGCAAACCTACAAGAAGTAGAAACAAAGGGCACCCAGCTTTTCTATGGGTCGTAGCTGTGCTCTGTGGTTTCTGGATGGTGGAGCTCTGCAGGAAGCCAGGCTATTTGATTGATGATGCTGTGTCTTGAGAGGCTCTCATAAGTACTTCTTAGTCATCTATCTCCTTTAAGCACCAGCACATAATACATTTCAAAGGTTAACCAGCATCTTAAACCTGCCTGAGAACTACACTTGGAATGTAAACACGAACTTCCAAAATTATGCTTTTCCAATGGGAGTGGGGGCAGGGAGGAGAGAAAATGTGGTTGTTTATAAACCAGATGTGGGACATAAAATAATCTTAAACATTACAGATCTTTTTTTCAGGATTCATTAATAATTTAAGCACTACTGAAATGCCACCAAGATGTATCACCAGTTGAAACACCTATGTTGCACTACGAAACAGCCACATAAATGAAATACCCCAAACTACAATGATAAAACAGTCACTGATAACTTGCGCCATGTTCCCACAGTGGCCATTAACAGGCACCCAAGAGCATGGAGAATATTATTTCATGAAGCTACATATGGTGTCAAGTTTGGATGGAAATATTCACTGAGCTGAGCTGCAGTTGCTGTGGAACCTCAACTTAGATTTTCCCAACATTTGGATGTGTAAATTATCAGCTCCTACACGGTTTTATTCTGTTGTCTGGTACTGTTTTTAAGCTGTGGCTGAATGCAGTTACTTTCAGCAAGAACTAAACACTGAATTCCATTATAACTACGGTAAATAAAGCTGTTATTATATATGTCAAATCAATATTTGAGAACTATACAGTATTGGCCGGGTAAGGTGGCTCACGCCTGTAATCTCAGCACTTTCAGAGTCTGAGGTGAGAGGACCACTTGAACCCAGGAGTTCAAAACCAGTATGGGCAACATGGTGAGACCCCCATCTCTATTTTTATTTATTTATTTTTAAAGTAAAAAAACAATAGAACTATATAGCTTCAATTTAAACTAAACAGTACCAAAGAACTTTCAGATGAGACAATACAGCTGCTTTTTTTTTTCCTTTTTCCTTTTCCTTCTCTCCATTTCATAGCAGAATACCAATTTTATAACATTATGCAAGTTATGTGCCTTTCTATGTTTATTTTTTATTTTTTTTAAAGACGGAGTTTCACCATGTTGGTCAGGCTGGTCTTGAACTCCCAAACTCAGGTGGTCTGCCCGCCTTGGCCTCCAAAGTGCTTGGATTACAGGTGTGAGCAACCACGCCCAGCCCCTTTCTATGTTTCTATACCTTCTTCTATAAAATACGAACAATAAAAACATCTTTCTGGGCTGGGCTTAGTGGCTCACACCTGCAACCCCAAAAATTTAGAAGGCTGAGGTAGAGAATGGCTTAACACCAGGAATTCAAGACCAACCTGGGAAACATAGCAAGACTCGGTTTCTCCAAAAAAAAAAAAAAAAGCCGGCTGAGACAGTGTGCACCTGTAGTCCCACCTACTGGGAAGGCTGAAGCAAGAAGACTGTTTGAGCCCAGCAGTTCAAGACTGCAGTGAGCTATGACCATGCCACTGCATTCCAGCCTGGGCGACAGAGTGAGACTCCACTTCTCTTTCTCTCCCTCTCTCTCTCTCTCTCTCTCTCTCTCACACACACACACACACACACACACACACACAAGTTTAAAAACTCTTCCTCTTAGGACTACTGAGAGAATTAGTAAGAAAATCCACATCACAAGCATTACATGGTACCTGACACATAGTAATTACCCAACAAATGATAATTTATAAACATTATTGAAGACATAAATAGATAATACATAATACAGAAAACATATCTTGATAAATCTTTTAGGGCAGTTATATACAAATGGAAGACATTTTAAGAGTATATACATGTAGTCATCTATTTACACAATCTGCTTTGTAAAATGATTTAAAATGAAACACAGTACCCACTTAATCAAATAAAAAAACATATTATTTATAATTTAGAAACTTGCTGATACCTGGTATTTACTGTGCTTTGCTGTATACAAGATATTTTCATTGTAAAATGTCTTTAGGGAGAGTAAAGAAACCAAGAAAAAGATACCTAAATGCTATATACAATCAAGTAAATGGCAAGAAGAGGAAAACACTATGGGGTGGTGCTTGAAGACATTTTCAGAGAGAAAGCAGATGTGAAAAAAGTAGGAGGGCTCTACGATTTTTACCCTACCTGAAAGTCACAGCTTTATCAATGCTGGCAAAAGACACAAGACTCCAGGGTCCGAGACAAAGAACTATTCACAACTTGCAGTCACACCATTAGCCAGAGAATCATCCTTTTATGCACTGGTTACTCAGCTAAGATTCTCACAAGGTGATATGAAGAGGATCCAGGGACACTGGCACACACAGAAGAACCCTAGGCTTAGGGAACCCGAACCTTTTATACAGACAGGAAGTATCCTTGCAGATCCTCTGCTGTCAGAGGAGATCCTATGCCTATCTTACTCTACAAACATCCTTCAAAAGATTGTCCACAACAAAGGCATCTGTTCTCTGTTTCTTTTTTCTAACACCTCCTCCTCTTAGACAAGGCATCTGTACAAAATCTATGAGAACCAAGAGGAGGTATCTTGAAACAGCAGAGTTTAATTGAAGGATTGACAAATAATAGCATGTGGATGACTGCTAGCAGACTAAAACTAGAAACATTAACAAACGCCCTATGATGACAATGCCTTCTGAATAGCGATATTAAATTCTACTAAAACTCTGCTATACTGAAAACAAAAATTCAGTGTAGAACTAAATGTTCAACCAAACAAAAGATCAAGCATGAAAAACGAAAGGAATTATGAGACATGCAAGGAAGGTCTTTACTTCCTTCACATGAACACTTTCTTATAAAGCTCTGTTTGGATGTGCTCTAGCAAAATCCAGAAAGCTCAATAAAAAATCAGTCGGAACCCAAAGAAAGTCCTAGAATATAGGAGAAAAGGCAGTTTAAGGAAGCAGAAAGCACTTCAGATTAGAGCAGGATAATGGAGAGGTCTAGTAAGTACATCTCCATGAGAAAAAAAAGAAACTAATAATGGGTCTGATACTGTACTGTTCTAAAAGTTATTTCATTCCCCTTTAGGTTTTCTCTTTTTTTGACCTGGGGTCTTGCTATTTTGCC